GGAGGGTGGGGGTGGGGAGAGGGAAGCAGACTTGGTCATTTAATCAGCTAGAAAATACTTATAAAAGATATGTCCAGGACAAGGCAACTCATAGCAAGTTTACCAACGGCATACAGAGGTGTCTTCGTGTCCTTAAATCCACGAAATGTGCCTTGTGCAGCAAGTGCAATTACAATGGGTGGAGCACCAAATGCCCTTAGGGCAAGAAATTGCTCGGCAGGTATTCGCATGGGTGAATCCTATAACAATAGGAAACCTCAATTAAAAACTACAGAAACATCATCAGTCAGTTTCATAATGCATAAATAATACACATCCCATAGTTAAAATTTTTGCCTAACTACATATGCTAATCCTTCTCTTCCATCCTTATCAGACTTTCATTTAACACAGTGATAAAGTCTATATTTTGCAGAAAATGACTAAAAATGTTTGCTGTATACTAGTAAAAATGCCACAGGAAAAACTAACTAAACAAATAAAGAAATTAAGATATGTAATAATTTAGCATTCATCACATAAGCTCATAGTTGGTTAAGTATGACATACAGCAGGTATACCCATGACATTCATCAACACACCCGAGCCAAGAAAAAGTGCAACAGCTTCAGCAATGCCAATGGTGGCAGCAAGAGCCAACGAAGTTGATACCGAGGGAAGGAGCTTCTTGCTTTGGCTATCACCCTGGCAATCTTTTTATATAAATAAAAAAAAAAAAAAAACACATTTTTTTATTAAAGCAATGAACAAAAAACAACAAATATGCAAGGCCTCCTAGAGGAATTAATAATTACCATCAGGACCAATTGAATTTGAACTATCCTCGGCCTTAATAGCCAATGCCTGCTCTTCAGCAACAAAAGATGTGGTGATGTTGAGCAATGGAACGTTAAACAATTTAGAAACTAAGTTGAATACTGAAGCAGACACCCCAACTGCTGCCAATTCAACAGACCCTACACAACACAAAAAACATACACACACACAAACACAATTCTATTACTATTAATTAAAAAACAAGCTCAATCCTTTATTAATTAAGCAACACCAAAGAACAAAGCTTTACCCAAATGCCCAACAAAGGCTGTGTCAACCAAAGAGGTGATGGGGTCAGCAGCCAGAGCCAGAGCTGCAGGCAAAGCAATTGACAAAATGTCCGCCGCAATCCCATCAAACATAAAACTTTCATCTCTGCAATTGTGTATTCAAAATTCAAAATTACAATCTTACAAAAACAAACAGAACACCAAAACTGGTCTCTCATGAATTTGCAATTGGGTACATAGCATAAGATTACAATCTAATTTACCTTAAGCGGCGAAGCCGAATGAAGAAGGAGTCAAAATAAGACAATTTGGAAGGTGGGTTTGGGCCGGGGCGATTGGTCCGTTTAGGAGTGACAATGGGCTTTGGTTCTTCCGGCGAGCTTTGCAGTGAAGTGTTGGAGTTTTTGGGAGACGATGACTTGAGGAGGGTCCGGAGACCAATGGAACGTTTTGGGTTTCTGATCAGTGCTTGTGTTTTAGAAAATGGTGGGTTGGTTTTTGAAGAATATATACAGAGAAGGTGGTGTGAGAGACCACTCGCCATTTCAAATTTCTTAAACAGACAAAACGAAGACTCCTTTTATGAAGAAACAGTGTGTAATGCTGAGGAAGGCCTGCAACCATATGTTTCTGTGTTGTTTTATCTTATTTACGATTTTAACGGTTAGATTTGGCGCTCTGAAAATATCTCTTGTTGGGCCTAACGGGCCTACGGAGCGGCTAAAAAGTGTATGGTTGCCATGAATTGAAGCCCAATGGGTCATGAAATTAAACAATGCTATTTTTAGGGGTTGTATTCAATTGAGATTTTAATGGATTGTTTTGCAGCTTAAAAATCCAGTGGTATTCAATTAGGATTTGTAAGTAATCAATAAAAATCTGGTGGTATTCAATTAGGATTTTTAAATCATAAATACAAGTCTGGTGATATTCAATTAGGACTTTTAAAAGATAAGACAAAGTACCGTGGTATTCAAAAACTTACCGATTTTGAAGTATTTCATTAAATGATGTATTGTGTGGTACTTTTGAGTAGGTGATATAAATACCAAACCCCATAAAAAATCTCACCCTCCTATGCCTGATTCTCACGTTCTTTGTTTTTATTTTGGGAGAAGATGAACAGACATATCTGAGAAGAGCTCCTATTTCATGGTTGTTCTCTATACTAGCGATGTTCTTATATGTTTTGCATATGTTCATTGTTATTCTCTATCTATTAACTAGCGCTGGTTGTATACATTTTGCGTCTGCATACGTTCATGGTTGTTCTCTATTAGTGCTGTTCTCCCCAGCCACTCACTCCATTAACACTTCAGTTTTTAAATCCTATCAAAACAAGATTATTTTGCTGAAAGACATGTAAAGTATTGTATAATTTATTTGCTGATTTTAAACGAAAAGCATGTTATCCACCCAAGATTATATCAAAAGGCAGAGAGAATTATGGCAGAGATGAATGAGAGGCAAACATAAAAAAATTCAGAAACACACAACACCTCAAGCATCAACACTTGGACTAGACCAGGAGGGAGAATTATGTATGATGTATGATATAGTAGTAAACTTCTTTGGTTGTGGTGTTTTGGTTGAACTTTGTCTATTAAGTAGCCTCAATTGAATTTGATTTTTGGTATTTTTGTTGAACTATGTATTTTGGTTGTGGCATTTTAGTTGAATTATGTATTTTGGTAGTGGCATTTTAATTGAATTATGTATTAGGTTTTGTTCACTGTGTGATAAATCCGTTGATGTATGGAATAGCATTGTTAGTGAAATAATTGGTGGGATGAATCTGTGTTTTGAGTAATTTGTGCACAAGTGATTTTCTAATGAAGTTAGGTAACAACTGTATTATCAATTCATGAAGGTTTGTAAGTCGCATGCATGAATTCGATAAGCTTGTATGGTTTAAGCCTCCTTAGTTAGATAATGCACACATGATTACTATGTAATATTATTATGGCAGAGAGGAATTACTTTTGATTACAGAAAGGAATAATTAGTTTTATGTTGTATTATTTGCTTCAACTCGTTTGAGTGTGTTGCTTCAGGTTATGTATTTCTTCAGGTTATGTATTTATATCCTAAAAATAATTGGGTATCTATATCCTAAAAATTGGGTATATTCCTTCAGGTTATGTATTTAGGTGAATGATGATGGGTGATAGAGTTCAAGCTTGTATAGAAATATAAGTAAAATCATGTAATTGCAATCTATTAAAATCATAAGTAAAATCATAAGTAAAATCATGTAATTGCAATCTATTAAAATCATGAGTAAAATCATATAATTACAAATCCGGGTGAAATCCATTACATTAAAATCATGTAATTACAATCTATTATACTATTTTAGCTTTGGGGCATAATCTTCAAGTTTGTTCCTTACACATAATTTTTGATACAAGCCATAAGAGGGGACGGGGTATTTGAACACATGATTTCGGGTGCCTAGATAACTGTTGTTAGAGTATCTCTAGCAGAGTTGCTATACTTTGATCCTTAGCTATGTTGGCTAGAATGAGGGCAAAATGCAACTCCAACAGACTTGCTATCTAACTTTCTATTTTGTGGAACTCTCTATTTAAGTTTGGTGGCTCTCTACATTTAGAGGGGAGGAGAGAGAAATTGAGGACTCTCCATTTCTTCCTCTTCTCTCTCCCTAGGCACACAACCCTCTCTCACCTCTTACTTTTTGATTTTTTAATGAACTTTTAATTTAGAGAGGAAGTGAGAGAAATAATACAATATTAGAGATTAACCAAAATTGAGAACATTGCTAAAGAAAACACCTTTTAAGTAGTTTGCTATAATGGTTTTCTAGCTATTTTAGCTAAAATTTGAAGACTCTCTTGAAGATGCTCTTAACCACTTGAACTATAAAACTCTTACTTTTTCCTACGCATTTAAGTAAGATTGGTAGGTCCATAACTAAAATTGATTTCATATCCAGTACAATGCATCAAAAGAAGTACTTTCCCCTCATAATTCCACCTTGTGGTACATTAAGTCAAACTTGAACAGGTAGATTGGACAAGTGAAGCTTCTTCATAAGCTCTCAAATTAGAAATAGAAAAAAAAACTTGTATGAAACGGGGATAGCACTGTTTTGCTATCCCCGATCAATCGCAATTATCACTCGTGGCATACTGTGATTGGCCAGGAATATCAAAATAGTGATATCTCTGTTTCATGTAAGTGTTTCACAGGGTAAAAATCTGCTTGACCAAAGAGCCTTGGCTACTAATTCTGCTCATGGTTGGCCCTCATCTCAATCCTCTCATTCATTCCCGATATCGCAACAACATGCAATCATTGAGCCCAAAGTAGATAACCCTTTGATGTTTTGAGACAAATAACACAACAATTAGTAATGACATTGCAGTTTTTAACCCAACACAGCACCACAGCTCTCTATTTGATTAGGAAAATCAAAAGCTACCTGGCAAGTCTCAAGTCACACTAAAATCCATCTTTGCACAAAAAGCAATTTTCTGATTTCTAAATGTGAAGAGCAGTTTTAGCCAAAGATACACAAAAATCCAACATAGGAACAACAGAATACTTGGAAAGAAAAGTTGGAAAATAAAATAAAAATTAAAGCAAGTCATGAGTGAATGAATGATATTTTGGTGGAAGCAACAAGCAAAGGAAGTGTGGAAACTATTTTTACCTGAAATGGAAAAATAATAATATCCAAACGTACGAAAATGGGTGCGGAAATGGACCAACCTTTTAGCTAAAGTTTAGGTAAATGAAATAGAAATATCTGAGACCCTGACTTATAACATCACCAGGTTGGAAGTGGTCAACATCCTTCGCCCCACCTTAACATGTGACTATGGATAAGTTCTTCAATATCTCATGTCGTTTTTTGGTATATTTTATCTACTTTTAAAGGCTCACAACGGGTAAACAAGGAAAGCAAGCAAATGTGAGAAAATGAGTTTTTTTTCCTTCTAGTTCTGGGTAAGCTTCAAGAAAGATGTAGCTTCTAAACGAAGAAAGATTTAAACTGAGCAAGATTGATGTAAAGGAACAGAGAAAAATGTTTAAACAAACAGCTATCAAAACACAAAATTAACATAAAACCAAACTGATTCTGCAGATGTTTCATCTTTCAAGCAGCGCACATACATATATACTTACAAGGCTACAAGCTTCAATCCCCTGGCTTGGCTGCAAAGAAGAGAGAGAGAGAGAGAGAGCAAGAAGAAGCCATGAAACTCAGGATGGATAGCGCAATACATGATCTAAAACCAAACCAAGAATGGCGCTATCCCTCCTGAGCTTAACAGATTCTTCCATACTGTTTAAAAACCAAGACCAACAAGAAGATGCCTTTTAGGCCTTTTGGTAAAGAGAAGCAGCAGAGTAACTTAAATGCTTCTGAAATCTGATTATGAGACTTATGAGAAGGGCAGCACCAATATTTATAGCAGCTGAGGAGCTAAAACGAGGGTACGTGGAAAAATATACAAAAATTATGCAAAATTACAAAACGTCATTAAAATTCAAAAAACTTGACAAATTCATGTTTGTGTTGTGAACTTGTGAGTAGCTACCTAATTTATATATCTTTTTTACTTTTATTTTATGCCCCTGCCGACTAGTTTACTTTTCTCCCTCTTAAAATACGTACGGTGTTTTGTGCATGTACTTGAAGACTTATGAATTGATTGGTATCCATTATCAAACTCTAAACTAGTTTTAATTACTTATTTGTCCATTAACATGTTATATTTCTACTTTTGTCTTTCTATTTTGGGATATTTATGTAATGAAGCTGCGTGTAGAGGCACAATTTAGGAATTTCATCACCAAAAATTCAGGACAGTTTCCTAATTGTTTGGTTTCGGTGTCGGTCTGAGAAACTTTATGTCACAACAAACGACATGTGTTGCATTGCATGCGTCAATCAAATGCATTATGCATGCATGAACATGAAATGAAATGCATAACATATTAACATTAACATAAGGTTTTTTGGTAATCTCAAATTAAAAAGAAGTTGGATGATGAAAAATAAATAAATAAATAAATAAATAAAAGAGTTGTGGTCTTTAGAGTTTGGTGACTCCTGGGAGAGTGAGTTAAGTGCCTTGGAAATTGCAGAGTCCTGACTTTCATTTTCTGCTACCCGGAGTCCCAGGCAAGGTCTTCCTCTCCTTTCCTCCCTCCCTAAACCTTACTTTTTTACTACATGCCCAGAGAGAAGGGGCCAGAAATTCCAGACTCCCCTTCACCCTCCCCGATGCATATTCTTCCCTAAAATGCCCTCCAAGGGCTCGGCTCCCCCTCTTACTTCTTGGAGGGTAGTTTGGTCATACTGTTACTTTTTGTCATCATGCTCTTGGGCTACGAATTGATGACGGGACCCTGCCATGCTCTGCTGCACCACGCACTCTTCACTGGTTTTTAGTCTTTTGGATCGCTGAATTCACTCATCATCAATCATGATGCCACCCATGACAAAGTCAAAGATCCCAACAAATATTATTTGACTATACTTCATCATATCACCGTTATTCTCAATTCTTAATACTTAATCCATAAGCTCAAATTAATTGCACGCATATATTAGGAATTTACTTAACATAATTCAAATTCACACATGCATAAACAGTTCACGACTCGCAAATCACGTTACTTAACATTCTTCATAGTTGATAACTCATAAATCACGTTACTTAACATTCTTCTGATTTGGAATACATGTATCGGCCGAATGCATGTTAGGCCTATGTTAGGTTGCTTGAATTGGGGGTATAGGACTTGACGACTTGAGGAGATCCGTATCTACTAGATTTGACAACCTTTTTTGTAGACGTCCTCTTTGGATAGATTCTGCACACATGCCATTTTCAATGTATGATTGCGAGGACAAATCACGATCCTAATTATGTGATTTTCTTCTAAGAACTCCATCCTCTCCTCTTCCTTTCCATTGCGAAAAAAAATGAAAGAAACATTTCACCTTCTAGTTTTGGATTGGACCAACTATCTTTTTGATTTCAATTGGACCAAAAGAGAACTGTTAGATTTGCACATGTTTATCCCCTCTAATTTGAGCTAAATTCTCCCTCCACGTGTCCCGCTCTCATCCTTATTATATCTCATCATTCTCCTATTATTTTTTCTCCCAATCATTCTAATCTCCTATTAATTAAGTTGCAAATATTCTCTCTTGTTAAAAAGGGTTGCTTAAACAAATATGGTAGGGCCATGAAATTGTCAGTAAAATGATGAATTTAGGTTTGTGGCTCATCACTGAGAGATTGCAGGGGCCAGTCTTAGTGAAGAGATCCGGTGGTGGTGGTGGTGGCCATTTCTGGATCATTAATCGGCCATCAATGTGGGCAACTGGGACCATATAGATCTCTATCTCATGATACAGCTAATTTCAAAGTGTTTCAATGGGTCAGCACCAAATTACAATTAAGTTTAGATGGTAAAACATTTCACTCTAAAAAATAAAGTATAGTGAAGTTTGACAAGTACTTGAAAGTAAAATTATAAATAGTAGGGACAATCTTTTGCTTGATCCCGTAAAAGAGGTGATGATCTTCTTCCCATGGCCGGAACGGACAAACGAAGGGGCCCTAAAAACAATGAGTCAAAAAAGTCAAAGCGGAGATCAAGCTATATTTCATATAAAATGTGAGCATATAGCGTGTGGGGGTGGGGCCCAACAAGCAAGCCCCAAGATTTGTTGATTTGTTGTTGTTGGCCATTGGCAAGCCAGAAGCAGACGTATCTTTTGGCGGTGTACAATATTAATATTAATATTAATATTAATATTAATATTAATATTCATATTAATGTGGGTTGATGCTTGTCTTCGCATGAGTAATGCAGCCAACGCCATAAGCGGATCAGGCGCCCTATCTTCCTGTCAAAGTTATGATTATATGGATGCATCCATGCCTCCTCTACACCTGCCTCTGCATGCATCCATGCATCCATGCATGGCAATGCATAGCAATCATGAATGTGTGCAGTGCGCACAGATGATCCGGTACTAAAGACACTGAGCATGAGATGAGCTGTACAAAATTCACACTAGTTACTACTTTTGGCTTTCGAATTTACTACTTTATATGCGTACTAGTACACGACTAGTTAGGTTTATGAGTATTTGTTCGCATTTATCTTGTCATTTTTGCTTCAATTATTTGTAAGAGGGTCTCCGAATTTTGACCCGATTTGCATTTGGATATCTCAATTTCCAAAATCGTTCCCGTGGTCCTTCAACTTCAGTTTCTTTAGGACAAATAGTCCTGCCGTCAATTCTGTTAATTTTTTCTGTTCAATTTGAGTATGTTCATGTCACATGGTGTACTATTGAGGGTCAAAATTGGAAATTGTTGGGGTAAATTATATTTAGGTGTAATAAAATATTCATATAATTTTGCTAGGGTAATTCTTTTTTGCTAAGGTGGATACCACGTGGATTAAAAAATAAATAAATAATTGTTTAAATTTAAATTATTTTAAAAAACTCAAAAATATTAAAAACCAAAAAATAAAAAAAAGAAGGAAAAGTTTCCAAGTTTTGTCAAGAGATTGGAGAAATTGTGCACCCACAAGTGAAGGAAAAGTTTCAAGGCTGTGGAAGCGGTGGGGACAGACTACACGAGTATGTTGGGCAGTGTTGCACGTGGGGCACCATAGGGGGCCCAAGAGGCCAGGAGCTTGGGACCAGTTGCTATTGACAGTGGCCCATAAGGACGGTGACTGGGGTTGGGACCCAAGGTGCCATGGAGAATGGTTGGGCCATTGGGAGGCTGAGGGTTGTTGATGCCAGTTGTTAGCCCATGCAGGATTGGACTGCTGCTGCCAACCACAGTAGGGGCCAGAGGAGTCATTGGAAGACCACGGTTGGAATTGATGTTGCCGCAAGTTCCAGCCCCGACCTCCTCGGTTGTGACCACCACGACCACCGTTGCTGCCACGTCCAGTGCCATGATTAAAAGAGCCACCACGATGAGAGAAAAATGGTTGAAACTGAGTGGCCATGAGAGCCATGGACTGGCTAGTGTGAATAGGATCGGTGCGAGGAGTCTGAGCTTCATAGGAGAGCAATCGAGCACGCAGGTCAGCAAAATAAGGAAGATGAGGAAAATTTAAAAGAGCGGTTACCAACATTTTGTAATCAAGACCCAAGCCACAAAGAACGCCAGTGACGAGATCCTTACTAGAGACGAGCTCATTGTTGGCAACAAGAGAGTCCACAATAGATTTGGTTTGACGAAGGTATTGGTCCACAGTTTGTGTTTCTTTTTGCAGGTCCATTAGTTGAAAACGGAGGATTGATTCACTGGTTGTAAGCAATCCCAAATTGCTTTTGAGGAGTCGCAACCAATGGTGATAGACAACAGTGATTCAGATAGAGCGCTGGTGTGGTAATTGACAATGAGTTGGTCTTGTTGAAACCATGTTTCGTAAGTAAGATTAGGTTGAGGAGGAGCAGGTGCTTGATTAGGAGAGGGTGCGGGTATGGGCAGAAAGAGAGAAGGTTAAGGAGAGGAGCCATCAACATATTTCCACAAGCCGTGGCTAATAAGAAAAGGTTTTATTTGTCGGAGCCAGAGGAGGTAGTTGGTGTCGGTGAGCTTGATGAAATGGGAGAAGTAGGGACCAGGAAGAAAGGGGGGGGGGGGGGGCGAGGCCATGACGATTCAGCTGGAGAGAGAGAGAGAGAGAGAGAGAGAGAGAGAGAGAGAGAGAGAGGGAAGAAGCTATCGCTTGGAAGAGAAAGGGATCATTTAGCTAATACCATGTAAGAGTTTGAATTCAAGTTGTATTCCTTTATGTAAATATTACAATATTTATAATTGCACAATAAAGATATAAACTGTAAAAGCCTTGCAGTAAATACAAAATATTTGGAGAGCAAGTCAACTATTGTGATTAAGAAGAATTCGTTTCAGATTCTTCTTCCTTGATGAGTGCGTGTGGTTTAATATTATTAATCACATACGTGCACGTGGACGATTGTAACGTATCTCGTCTTGTCCACATATCTCTATTAGAGCAAGTCCAGCAGCTAAGGCTGGACTCGGGCTAGGGGGGTTAGGGCCAAAAAATCGATTCCACCAACAAAGGCTAGCCCAAGGGCGAGGTGGGGGAAGGGCTGGCCCGAGGGCAGGTTCAGCCTGAGATCCAAAACGAGGGGGCTAACGTCAGCAACAACAAAAATATTTATAAAAAAATCAGAAAAAAAAAAAATTCAGATTTTTTTAAAAATAAATACTTAGTCATATTTTTCACTTCCCACACCAAAAATCTTTTTAAAAAATATTGTCCAAATTAATTGTTTAGGTAAACAAATATGTGAAAAAAAACAAAAAAAATGAATAGTATTTGCCCTTTGCCATGGCAATTGCTGGAAACACACATTGCTTTTTGCAAGGGCAG